TCCTCTTTGTCAGTCCTGACACCTGAAGTGGATCTCACGTACCGTGAGCGGCCGTGAGTGAAGCAGCAGCAGGCCCAGGGTCGTCGTAGAGTCTGAAACATGGTCCCGGTTGGAGAACCTTCGCTGTCCTGGTTCGGACTGATCTGACTGCAGCGGCGAGGGCAACGAACTGCGCTGGGGGAGGAAGGTTTGGTCTGGGCGGGCTCTCAGCATCCTGCTCCAAATGCCAGACCTTCAGCTCCCTTTGGGAAAACTACAACTCCCACAGCGCTTTGCAGTGAAACAGGGACCTTATGCTTCTGGTGAAGTGATAAAAGAAGTTTCTGTTCATTTTATGGAAAGCAACAAGCTTAGTTCATCAGAAACCTTGTTTCAGTCCAGATTTTCTGCCTCTGTTGTTGGATTTTCCTGCAGGAGTAAAAGAGGAAATGAGCCGTTTTATCTCAATTGGGACTCGGCTGTCAGTCACAGTTTGTTCTGATGTTCAGCATTATTTGTGCTACTTCTGTCTCTTTAACATCAGCCGATTCATCCACACTTAAATAACTACAATTATTAATAAACAATAAATACTGCATCAATAAACAAATGCACACGTGAAAGAAAACAAATATTTAAGTAACATAATAATGAGCTTATTTCTCTTAAAATAGTCTGAAAAAAAACAGATCAAAATAAACACCTGAAATAAGTATTTTTACAAACACAAATGTCAAAAATAAAACTTGATTAAATTAAAAAAGAAATACTTAAAAATATCTAAATTAGTAGATAAATAAAACCTATTATTTGAATAAGCTTCCCATTAAAAATATCAATATATGTATCTATCATTTCATGTGAACTTTTATGAATTTGATAGGGCCTTTATTAAGAAAGTCGCGTTTACAAAATAACACAATGAAATAAAAAAATTCAGCTTCCCATATTGTTTGTATTTATCTCGTTTTTATTGTTCATTTCTTATTAAAGTATTTGCTGCTGTTACTTTCAGCTCCTTGTTCTCTGATTGGTCAGATTCTGGTTCAGGTGAGAAGATCCAGACGCACAAAAAACTTTTTCCACAAATGATTAAAACATCAAAGTTTTTCCCTGAAGTGACTTCAGCTTCATCCATGCAGGTTAAGTTAAACTCCACCTCTGAGTTTCCAGCACAGAAGAAGAGCCGACATCCAGTAAACACACCAGCGCTCTGGCTCATCATGACTTCACCATCTTGACTCTGAAGCAGCCAATCAGCTGAAGCTCCTGGAGGGCTGCAGCACCAGAGTCCAGCCTGGGAGCTGTTTACCCGACAGCTGAGCGATGCTGGACCGTTTATCAACCGTTTGTGTTCGTCGGGCGGCTCAGTCAACTCCTGCGCCTCCTGAAGGCTCAATCCCTCTAAGAGTTCTCTTGCCAGACTATAGCTAATAGCTTTCTCAGGCAGACTGTCCTCCAACCAACAATGTTCATTATGTCCAAACAGCTCAGTCTTAGTCTCACCTAACCAGAAGTTAAGGTCTTGTGATGGTGTGATGACGTACAAACAGCAGGATTTAAAAACCTTTTCAGTTCTGATGAGAAGATTGATGAGGTACCATCTACTATACATTTCAAGCAGGAAATTAAATTTCAGGTGCGCACACAGGCATGATTGACAGCGCTAAGACCTGCCTCCTGGCTCTGATTGGTTGTTTCTTGTTAACACTGGGAGAAGGCAGAGGAGCTTGATTTTTTTCAGATTCTGTTAGGCCATCGTGACACTTTCAACAAACATGTCATAAAATATTTTTAAATCATAAGAATTTTAGAAATCAGAATGTTTTCATTCCACGGTTTATTCATTTACGTTGCATCCAGAGAACAGATGGAAAACTGTCTGTCCTACAACATGGATAACATTTTGCATCTGTGGCTGATTTTAAACTCTGGTTTGCTCCTGCAGGAGATTCTGTCTCTTCTTGATGGTTTCCTCCCCCCAGTCCACAACATGGCCACCTTGGTGTAGACCCCGTAATACCCCGGGTGAGAACAGCCCCGCCCCCAGGCGACCACGCCCGTCAGGAAGCTGGTGGAGCCGTACTCGGTGACCAGCGGACTGCCGTCGTCACCCCGGCAGCTCTCCTGGTTTCCATCCAGGTACCCGGCGCACAGCATGTTGTCGGTGAAGTTGAATTTGGCTTTCTGGAGCACTGGGAGTTCTGGACGATGGGGACGTTCATCTTACGGAGACGGGGGCGAGCGGGCGGCCCGAGGAGGCGAAGGCGTTGCCCCGGTGGTCCTCTTGCCCCAGCCGGACACGTGTGGTATCGACCGGCAGCAGCTCCCGTTCAGCAAAGTGTCTGGTGGGGAGGCAGACGGGGACGGTGTATCGGTTCAGAATGACGGAGGCGTTGATCTGGACCAGGGCGATGTCGCTGTCGCCTGTTGCCGGGTTGTAGTTCTCATGGGGAATCACAGCGGAGGCATCAAATGTCTGCTCTGCGTCACTTTTCACATCCAGATTGTTTCACTGGTCAACAAAGACACATTTTGTTCTAAATCGCAACTAAGATGAAAAATGCATAAAGTTTTGAATCAGTTAAAAGTCTGAAAATTACAGAATGATCAACTGATGAAGCTTGTAAAAAAGAGCAGAATCTCAGTAAGATGAGAAACTTTCCCATTTTAGAGAGAATTATATCTCACTAAAACCAAACTGTCATAATCTGCCATCGTTAAAACTTTCTCACCAAATTTAGTTTTTTTTGTTTTAATGAGAATTAACGAGGTTCATGTTCTGAACTTATTTTTAATGACAAACATTATCCAGGTCACTTTTTTTTTTTTTTTTTCACAAAACATTTACTAAATGAAATAACCGTTCCGTCCCCTAACTAATTAGTGGACATATTTAGAGGGGATTAACGTTCTGCTGTACCTGCCACCACAACGAGCTGCTGGAGGCTCTTCCCATGACGCAGTGGGCCGCCGTGATGACCCAGTCCGATCACCAGAACTCCACCGCAGTGGCTGCTTCCATTCAGCTTAATCAGAACCTGTTGAGGAACATTAGCAGTTTATGTGTCGAACCTTCCACTCATTTCCAGACGTCCGATTGGCCACTTGGGGGGCAGCAGCGTTTACCTGCCAGGGACAGTCTCCCTGGTTACAGTGGTTGGCTCCCATCAGCCTGATCTGATCCTGCATGGTCTGGTTGGGTCCGGTGCCTGAGGAGGCCACCCGCCCGCAGGGGAACGCCACTGACACAATCACACCATCAGCAAACATCCACGTAACTAGAGGGCGCTGCAGCCTTTCCTTCACCTTTAGGGACGCATTTCTTTCCATCGTCTGCCAGCTGGTATCCGTCAGCACACAAACATTTACGTCTCGCTCCAGAACCGTCACAGAAATGCTCACAGTGTCCGTTCTGGTACAGGCAACCAGCGTGTCTTCAAAAACTGAAAAAAAAGCTAATGCAGCAGAGGAGCTGTTTTCTCCACATTTAGACAGTTATACAAATTAACTCGCTTTACTTCAGTAAAAATACATTGTTCCTTATTCTACACATCTCTAATCAATCTGAAGGTCAGCTGGATGACCTCTTGGCGCTTACAAATGTAATTTAACATGATCATAGGAAAAAACTCCAGAACATCTAGAAATATTCAAATAAATGCAGTACTACCTGTCTGACAGTACCGTCCCTCGTATCCCTCCGGACACTGACATTCATAGCTGGTTCCCATATAGAAACACGTCCCGTTGTTAAAGCACGGGTTTCACCAGGCAGGGGTCCCGTTCTGATGGAACAGATTGTCGGGTCCAAATTAACGAACGTCAATGTATCAGTCAGGGTGAGCGCTGGAAGATACGTACTGTCATAAGTTTTCCAGAAGTCCCTCTGAAACCGAGCAGAAAGAGTTTGTCAGTGTTTTTATTCTCCAGACGTCGGTGAGTCGGAGCAACGAGCTGCTCACCGTCTGCTGGTCGTCCTCGAAGACTTCCCGCGCCTCCTCGTAGTCGCAGATCTCCTCGATGCATTCCCTCTCCAGGTTTCCCTGCTTCAGCTCCTCCAGGAAGCCGCTGTTTGCTCTCCTCCATCTGCGCAGCACCGAGGCGGCTTCATGTTTCTGCCAAACACTGCAGACGGTGCATCCATTCGTCTGTTACTCACCTTCACGGCGTTTTCTTTAATTAATGTCTGAACACAGTAGAAGCTTCTAAAGTTAGTTACCTGGTAGATTCTGCTGTTTACTTAATCAACTTCTGGGATTAATTCTTAAAACAAGCCATTCAGGTGTGTTTCTAAGAGCAATAATCTGAGGTAATGGATGTTTTCTGACCTTCAGCAGCGTGGACGCCCACAGCAGAGCAGAAACCAGACAGAAGCTCCTCAGCAGCATGTCTGCAGTGTTGAACGTCACAGAGAAAATCAGGACTGAGTTCAGACGCGGTTCAACTCTGGAGCCTCAATCTGCTCTGCAAACAAAGGTCTGTGGTACTTTGAGCTTTTCACTCGCTGTACACAAGCAGTATGGAAAAGTACTTCACAGTTACTGCAGAAGTACGACTAGTTAACATGGTTAGCTAGAAAATAAAAACTTTAAGTTGAACTGTTCGTATTTAAAGCTTTCATCATAAGAACGTTTAACAGAATTCAGATAAAATTAACAAACCATGCAGATTTACAACAATACATTACATAAATATGCAACATATTTAATATTTACTGTTAAAAATACACAAAATGTCTTTTTAATGAGTAATGAGTGGACTTTATTTTTAGGGCAATGCCTCTAATTGTCCACTAGGTGTCAGTAAATGAACACAGATGGACTCATTTACCTGGACACAGAAAAATGTTTAGTTTATGAAATAGATTTATTTTCATCTCTGTGTTATTTGTATTGATGCAAATGTCTGCTGTGATTTCACAGCTAAAAGATCATTAGAAATAGATGTGGTGAGAGAAATGTTTATGTACCAAACATTTTATTTTCTTTCTTCCAGTTGTGAAAAAATAAAAATTAAACCACAAATTATATAATATTTTCTTTATTAACTCATTTAAACAAATGAATGACATAAACCGTTAGTCTTCTACACAACAAACCCTAAAAACGGCATTTGGACCGAAACATGTATAAATGCCACAGTTTCAAACTAAATTTTAAATTAGCAACCCAAATATTCAGTTAGCAATCAAAATAATTAGTTGGCAAACTAAATATTCAGCTAGTGAGCTAAATATTTTTGTTAAGCTGAATATTCAGTTAGTAATCAAAATATTTAGTTGACACACTACTTAATTAGTGAGCTAAATAGTAAGCTAAATACTTCTGTTACCAAACTAAATATTCAATTAGCAAATTAAATATTTAGTTAACAACTAACTAAATGGTTGTTAACTAAATATTCAGTTGGCAATCAAAATATTTAGTTAGCATGCTAAGTATTTTAACAAACTGAACATTAAATTAAACAAATATTAGCAAACTAAATATTTGGATACAACCTAAGTAGTTTGATAGATAAATAGTTAGCAGAAAGCTAACTGTAGAACTAAGTGCAAACACTTAGTTTACAAAATAAATATTTTAAATTAGTTTTTCTAATTAAATGGTGACCTATATGAACATATATAGGAAAATATTTTATTTTAAGTGTTTTACTTCCTATATATATTGCTGTTAATTGAAGTTAGTTTGCATATGGCACCTGAAGAAAGGAAGTCATGTTTCAGTTTACTCTCCATCTGTTGGATAAATGATTCAGGTTACTGTACAGTTACAGTGGCAGAGCTGGGGACGGTTTCTGTGGCGTTTCCGCTCTGCGCTGGTGTTGCTGTTCGGTTCTGGATCCACTCCAGGTAGTTGGACACTCGGGTGTAGATGCCGTAGTTGCCTGGTCGGGCGCAGCCCTTCCCCCAGCTGACGATCCCTAACAGGAAGTGCGTCTTCTTGAACTTCGTCACCAATGGGCCGCCGCTGTCGCCTTTACACGAGTCCGTCCGGCCGTCCAGGTACCCGGCACAGAACATGTTGTCGGTGAGCAGCACGCCGCTCTGCTCTGTGCAGGTCTGCTTCCGGATGCGGGGCACCTTGGTGCGCCTGAGGAGGATGGAGTGGGCCCGTTCTCGCCCCGCCTGCCCCAGCCGCTCACCGTGTGCAGGTCCACCGCCCAGAGGTCCCGTTCGGCCAGGCCGAGTTGGCAGGCAGATCGGGACAGCGACAACGAGTAAACTATGGGAGACGCTAAGCGTAGGAGGCCGATGTCGTTGTCAACAGTACTGGTCACGTAATTCTCGTGCATGATGATCTCTACAACTTGGATGACCTGTTCAGTGGACTCGTTGACCGAGATGTCGTTCACTGGAAGACAGAGCAGGAACCAGTTTTGACTGGTCTCTACTGGTATCGATGGTCTTTTTGTTGTTGAAAGGAGGGATTCGAACCTGCAACCACTTTCAGGAACTGCGGGTTGATGTTCTCCAGGCAGTGAGATGCTGTGAGGATCCATGTCGGTTTATAAATCACTCCTCCACAGAAACCTTTGTCTTTATACGTCAGCAAAACCTTCAAGGAAAGATTGAAAACAGGTTTCAGTTTTCATTCCATGAAACTTCGGCCTCCTCTTCAGACTCTGCAGCTTTAGTTTCAGCTCTCACTGTAACTCTACAGTCTGTCTGTTCATAGTAAACCTACCTGCCAGGGGCATTCACCTTTCGGACATTCGGTTCCCCCCACAATCCTCAGCAGATGCATGTCTTTGGTTGCTTTCTGTAGGACGGGGACCGTGCCGCACGCTATTGGTGCTGAAACAACCATTTGATTGGACAGTTGATTACCAGATCAAAATAATTCCTCAGCAACTAAATGTAAACATCTTCAGTGTTAATTGGCTACCAAATAATTAGCCGGTCCCTTTTAAAGAAGTGGCGTCCCACAGGGATCTATACTAGGTCCTGTTATTATTCAAAAGCCATTGATGGTTTTAAAATTCTCTATTTACATTGATGACAAAATGATCTATTTGGAGGAAAAGAAGGTTTATACACTGAACTGATTCAAAGCTTTACAGAGAATTATATATGATAAACATATTCAGTCCTCTTTATGTTGTAAACAGAAGAAAATTAAAACGTAAAAGAAAACAGTATTTATTAAAATACAAAACGCTTATGTAGATAATTATTCTGTCACCAAACTATCCAGTCAGAATGAAAGTTTGTAAATGATCAGACGTTGCAGTAAACCTTTAGTGATGCAGCTGCGTCCAGCTGTGTCCAGTTCGTAACCATCAGCACATGAACATGCTAGCCTTCGTCCAAACGCGTCTTCATCGCAGAAATGATCACAGCCTCCGTTCTGCAGCAGACAACTGTCAGACTCCGTCTGCTGCTCTGGAAACAGAAATAACAACAGATAGGACCTGAAGTCATCTGAACAGCACAGGAGATTAAAACACTGGAAGTTTCTTCCGTGATAAAACATCTTTTCTTGCTCACCGAACTCACAGCTGAGTCCCATGAACTGAGGAAGACATAAGCAGGTGTAGGACTCTTCGTTGTTGATGCAGGTTCCTCCGTTCTGACAGGGACCCGACGTGCATCTGTCAGGGACTTGGACACAAACGCACCGTTATTATTTATCAGAAGTTATGGCTGATGACTGTTGATGGTTAGAAGCTATTTTAATCCAACCCTAAGGGTTCAGAACTATTCAGCAGATTAGAAACAGTCAGCAGTTCATACAACAGTGAATCCACAACAGCAATAATTGGTAAAACCCTCCAAACACACAGGAAGCTCCAGTGGATGTACTGTTCTCCACCCTGACTCTCTTTTCGGTTGATGTTGGACAGTCATTACTTACTGGAGTACCGTTTCCAGAACTCGTTCTGATGAAAAGACAGAAACCAACAGGACTTTAGGCTCTTGCTGAGTTAGAATGGTCAAACCTCATAGTGACGTAACGCACCGTCATCTCGTCGTGCTCAAACACCTCTCTGGCCTCTTCGAAGCTACATTTCTCCTCCAAACACTCCCTCTCCAGATTTCCCACCTTCAGCTCCTCAAACCAGCCGGAGTTTGAACCGGCGAGTCCGGACCAGGACGCCGTTGGCCTGCTGTCGCTCCAGAAAGACTGTGGAACACAAAGCAGCATAAACCACATGCCTGGAGTGGAAAACATCAGTTCACCTGTTCAGGTGGATATAAGTCCAGGTGCAGTTAAGCTTTGTGCTTTGGTACAAAAACACATCTTGTAATTTCCCCTGTCATTGTTAATTGGAAGCCTCATAAGGGTCTCCTACCTGCTTGTTTACAGGTAGTAGCTGTTCCTGATTGGATGAATCTGTGCTTGTTCCTGATTGGATGAATCTGTGCTCCTCGGCTCACTATCATATACATCAGGTAGATGTTTGGCTAATTGTTTATTTGGTCCAAGCTTTATGGAAATCATTAAAAAGCAATACTTTCATCCTCAATGAGACTTTGAGCTTCTGAGACCTTTTGTGATGCCTACATATAGGTCAGGGCTTTGACTAGTCCATTCTTGTCTATTTGTGAGAAGGTGATGAATCAAACATAACCAGGGAAAAGCATGTTGCTCCATTTCAGCGCTGATATCCGTAGACTCTAGTTTGATTACTGGAGATATTCTCCTGATGCAGTGAATGAGACTCCAGCCTCCACCGCCGCTGGCTTTACAGGATGGAGTTTGTCTGACTGTCAGTGAACTTTAAGTCACTCAGCATCTGTGAGAAAATCTGCTCACTTTCTACTGTCTTCTTTCCAGAAGCAAAAGTAGAGAAAGAAGATTTAAGATCCAAAGATTCATTGATGCTTTGCTAGCTTGTCTTTCTGTTGCTAGGAGACCCAGCAGGTTTTGGTCGTTTTTAAGGGTTTTTGGCACCAGTGGGTTGTTTGGTTGTTGGGTGAGGCAATCAGAGTGTGACAGTAAACGTCAGTAGATGGTAGCCTTGCAGGCAGCTAGCTTGTTGTTGACTCAACACAAACTATTAAAGATTTACCAGCTCAGCTTCTGCTTCTTCTGCTAAATCATCAACAACTTACAGGTTCAGTCTGGATCTTCCTCACCTGAAGCCGGCTGGGAGTCCTGGAGGATGAAAACGAAGATGACGAAGACCCTGAGCAACATGGCTGACTTCATCAGAACGCTACCATCGCTCTTCTAAAGGTACAAAGTCTTTAACTCCCTCTCAACACTAGACTGTAGTTTGTCACATGGTGATGAAACACTGGCTGATCAATGCCCTCAGGTTCAGCAACTTCAACTAAACAAATTCACAAAATACTTGCGTCTCGGTCCTGATATGAACATCTAAACCTTTATTAATAAGACAGAAAGAAAGCTGTGAGAGTAAAACCAAAACACTGAATGAAGAAGGGAGAAAAGATGCATAAAACACTGAAAGTTAGGCTTTCCTCCCTTTAAAACAAACATTTATGTAACAGTTTACCTTTGGTTCAGTTGGATCTGGAGCTCCCTCTAGTGGTACTGAACGTAAACCATCCACAGGTCAAACAAGAAACGTGAGAAGATTAAATAACATAAGAAATACTGCATAAAAAACATGAAATATGTGATTTAATTTTTTTTAAAACAAATTGGCGACTTGATTTGTAACAACACCTCATAAATAAATGCATCAGAGCGGTTAGTTAGCAGAAAGCGAAGATCTGTTAATGTTCTGGTAAATCCTTGGGTATGAACTGTAATTTGGTTTAGTCAAAGTCTGAGATATAACCTGTCAGTGCAAATGTTACACTAAGATCAAACTTTGTTTAAGCTTTTGAGAAAGAAACTGATCAGCAAGAAACTCGTTAGCTTAAAGCTAACATCAGTTTTTTTTCTGCTAGTTTGTCAACAAGCTAACGATGCTAACAGGCTAACTTCCTTCTGTTCTAAACTAAGTTTAAAGGATTTAAGCATTTAAACGTTTGTACCCAACAGTTGGGTTTGATGAAAACAAGTTCATTAAGCTTCATGAAGTTTTGGAGAAAGAAAAACACAGTTTTGTCTGATTATGTATGTTTATTACATATAAATGACAGAATTAGAGTCTCTGGAACATTAATACAGATTTGCTTCCCTTCTGTCCAGATGTCAACCCACAGAAGTGATTTCAGACATTCAAACGTTGAGCTTGTCTTTGGGTTAATGTAACTACCGTTCTGCAGATATTTCTACTTTCCTAACACTGTTGAACTCTGCGCTGCGTTGACCTGCGGCGTTTCAGCCGGTCGCCATCACAGTTTCGATCCAGTCCAGGTAGTTGGTGACTTTGGCGTAGACGCCGTACATGTTCTCCTTGGCGCAGCCCTTCCCCAGCTCACCACGCCCGTCAGGAACCAGGTCTTCCTGTACTTCACCACCAGCGGGCCGCCGCTGTCGCCTTCGCAGGCGTCCTGCCCGCCCCTCCTGTGCCCCGCGCAGAACATGTTCTTGGTGATGTTGAGCTGGGTGTGGAGGCGGCACTCCTGCAGCGGCACCCTGGGCAGCACCAGCCACTGCAGGTAGCGCGCGATGGGTCCGGCCTCCACCAGGCGGCCCCATCCCGACACGGTGGCCTGGCGGATGTTGTACAGCGTCCTGGCGAAGGTGCTGTTCCGAGCCGGGAGGCAGATGGGAATGACGTGGAGGCCCAGTTTTACCGGGCGGTGCAGCTTCAGCAGGGCCAGGTCGCTGTCGGTGGGGTGGTCTGGGGTCGTAGCCGGGTGGATGGTGAGTCGTGCTGCTGCTCGTCTAGGTCATGTTTTTCCTGACAGCGACCAGCATTCAGGTTAGATAACGTCAGGAGACGCCGCGCTGAGTTGCCTTGAAGAGTGACCTCACCTACATAGATGTGGAAGATGGCTGACGGTTTGTGCCAGACGCAGTGCGCTGCGGTTAGAATCCACACGTCTGACAGGATGATGGCGCCGCAGCGGAACCGGTTATCTTCGTACAAGGCGACCTAGAACAAACATGAACGACCTTGACCCGACCTCTGACGACCTGAGTGATGGTGACCCCGGTTTCTCCAAATCTAACAAAATGAGTGTCAAACGTTTGGGCAGCAAAAACTTTTGTTTGTGCTGTTTTAGTTTGATGATATTGATGATGACCTCTGATGACCTCTGGAAATGTTTTCGTTAAATCTTCAAAATAAAGCATCACAAACAATTATTTTTTGCTGTATAAATGTTTTATTTGTTTGATTTGAAGAAAAACCAAAATATCTTTTTATTTAATGTTAAAGTTTGTTAGTTTTTATTCAGTAAGGCAGCAATCTGAACCCTTTTCATGTTCAGGATCTTTATTGATGATCAGATTTTATCTAAAAAAACAAAACATATTTTTAATTTAGTGAAATGTTTTGGACCCTGCTGGTGATGGACTCACCTGCCATGGACAGTGACCTTTGGGGCAGGCCTGCCCTCTAACTATCCTGGGGGCAAAATTGACCAGCGGTCTTCCACAGACCACTGACTCTGCAGCAACATAGAGAAAGGTCAAAGTTCAGTCTTACTTCTTTAGTATGGAGAATCACAGGCATGTGGTTCTGTTGGGAAGCGGACAGAACCAAGAGGAGGAGAAGCCGGCGATCCGCTCTGACCTTTGGGCAGACAGGTGCTGTTGTCCTGGTCCAGCCGTACCCCGGAGCGCAGAAGCAGACCGGCGAGAGATCCGGATTCTCCCTGCAGAAATGCTCACATCCGCCGTTTCTAAAGCGGCACCTGGTTGAGGTCGATCGGACTGCAAACGGCCGGAAACAGAACGTCACCCACATCCTGGACCCGCACCGTCAGGAGCCAGTTCTCAGCAGGTTCCTACCTTTGTCACATTTGGACCCGTGGAAACCGGCGGCACATTTACAGGTGAAGGTGTTGAGGTGGCGCGTGCAGGTCGCCCCGTTCTGACAGGGAGACGACAGGCAGAGGTTCGGCGCTGAAACCAAAACACATCCATGAGGGCCGGTTCTCACAGCAGGCGGGAAATGTTCAGGTCAGTACCTGTGTAGGTTCTCCAGAAGTTTTCCTGCACAGAGAGAAAAGCAGGCAGTGAAACCAGAGATGGACCAGAACTCGGCTAAAGTTAAGTTAAAGTACTTTGAATATTTTTCAATTTAGTCCAGTTTGGACAGATTCTAAATCTGTTTTTGTTATAATTCCACAAACAATTTTATTATTTATTTGTATTTGCTAAATAAACCAACTAACCACACAATATGTTAATAAAACAAGTTAAGTGGTCAGGTTTCTGTAGTTCTTGCAGTTTTACCAGATTAAAAACAATCAGCAAATTAAGCAGGTTCAGTTCTTTCCTGAGAGACTCACCAGCTGCTGCGAGTGCGGGATGATCTCTCTGGCCTCCTCGTACGAACATTTCTCCTCGTAACATTCCCGCTCCAGGTTTCCGTTCCTCAGCTCCTCCAGGAAAGAGTTGGCCCTGCGAGTTCGCTGCAGGAAACCAGTGGCTTCACGTCGGGACACAAACGTTCCTCCTGCAGCCAAACAGCAAACGGCTGCTGGACTCAAACTGGACCAAGTGACGAGCAGCAACCAGTTACTTTCACTTCATGGTTTTATTATGTACCTTTAGGAGTATTTTTACCGCTCTAAGTTGAATTATTTTATGATGAAGTATTTCTACTCTTAGTGGAATAAAATTTCTGAATTTTCTTTCCACTGAATGAAATCAAACATGTTTTAACCAAAAATTCACCAGAAACAGCTGCAGTTCCTGTTAGTTTCATAAGTTTTTCATTGAAAGAAACTGAAACATTTTCTTTTGCCAGATTTTGTTATTTTTTTAAACTTATATGAATTATTGTCATTTTTGTTTTTAAAATACAAAAAGTTCCACTTAATTTACATTTTTGTCCATCTGATAATCTATTTTCTAAATATGAAATGATTGAAATTTGAGTAGTTTTTACCAAATACTTCTTTACTTTACTTGTAAAAGTAAGAAAGTACTAACATACTAACTAGTAGTAGTACTAAAATACTAGTTGTGCTGCTTTTACTTTAGTATAACTTGTTTACAGCAGAAGAATCTGTCAGAATATTCCTAAGATTATAATTAAAGCTCATAGTTAAATTTGTAATAAACCTGATGAGTTTTTTTCTCTGCGTTTTGCAGTCTGGAGCAGAGCGGAGGTGCAGTTCATCAGAACCGAGCCGTTGGACCCTGACGGACGTTACCAGAGCAACAATAAGATGAAGAGGAGCAGAAGGAGGAAGAAGGAGCAGGACTGACCTCCTGGGGTCCCGGTGCATCCTGGGAAAGCGGCGGTTATGAGGAGAAAGAAGACGACGTTCTTCGTTTGTCTGGTGATGGACGCCATGCTTGTTTTAAACTGATCAAAGTTCACAGAGAAACAAACAAAAAACCCCGACAGAAAAACACGTCAGATAAAAAGCTCAGCCCTCTTCTGCTTTCAGGGCGAATTGGCTCCAATTTATTTAAAATATTTACAGATAAATTATTTTAAACTCAAAGAATTAAATATACTCTGATTTATCAGGTCTGTCATTTAAAAAGGCATTAAAACTCTAATATGATAGTTTTAATCTGAAATTCTGACTTTATTTATTGAATAAATGCAACAGGATCATTTCCAGGACATATTTGTTTTCTACAGAAACGACACAGTGAGGCAAAAATAATAAATATAACCCATTATTTAATGAAGCTCCCTTTCAATAGTTAACATGACGTTTACATCTGCATTCAGATTATTAAATAAAAAACAGTTAAATATATATTATTATGATTGTAAACAAAAAATATTGGAATAATAAAGCTGCAGTGCGTTGTGGGAACAGTAGTCCTCCTGTCCTCCAGGGGGCGCCACTACTGTTACAGCATGTCCTTCAGGATGTTGGGGAGGAACTCCTGCGCGTCTCTCAGTCTGTCCTTCCACTCCTGAGGGATGGCGCCGCCGCGTGGGCGGCCGCGGCCCCCAGCAGGGCCCCCAGGGCCGAACCGCGGTTACAGTTTTCACCTGGAGACCAAAACAGGTTCAACATCAGGAGATCCAGCTTTTAGTTACTGGTGTTAAGAATCCTCAGTTAGCTTTAATTTTGAAGTCTGTTATCATTAGCTTCAGCTAAACACTGTGTTGATTTATTGAAGCGTTTAGCTGTTGATGCCTTCACTTTAGATTTGTTTCAGACAAAGTCTTCAGCTCTGACCTCCGCAGTTGGTGTTGGCCAGGATTCCTCCTTCAGGGTCATCATGAAACTCGTAGGCCAGGTAGAACAAACTGGACAGGGCCCCTGTGGGTTCAATGGGTCAAAGGTCAGGACAGCTCTCTTAAGGTAAAGCTAAAGCTGAGCTTGTAGGCTCTGACCTCGGTTGTAGCAGGCCATACCCAGGTAGCTCACGGCGCTCTGGTGGACCTTCAGCCTCTCCTCAGAAGATGCTGGAAACCTGGACAGTCAAAAGAATCAGCTGCTTCATGTCTGAAACCTTCAGCAGAGCTTCCCCGGAGTCGCTGGCCCGGTTCTGACGGACCTGGCGGCCTTTTCGGCTGTAGCTCTGGCAGGCGTCCAGGCCTCTAGCCTCTTCAGGGCGAACTCGGCCTGCTGGCGGACGCTGGCCCCGCCCAGCACGGCGTGCAGTGCCCGGCTGTAGATCGTCACGTACTCAGGCACTTTGGGGTGAGGATGGGTGAGCTTCACGAACTCCACCGCTGCTGAAACCTGAGGAGAGACGACCACATGAGACCGAACCTTCAGGTTCGGATGAGGCCGGACGGGTCGGGTTTGCTCACAGCTTCATCCTCATTGGCCGAAGCAGACAACAGGACAAAGGGGAGGATCGTGGGAAGGCAACCGATGGCGTCCAGCTGGCTGTCAGGAAACCGAGAGCTCATCATCTGTTTGGATCGTTTCTCTGCAAACTTCAGAACCTGAAGAGAAGCAGAGTCAGAACCGGCCTGATGAACATCGGAGCTGGAGCTCCTGGTTTACCTCACTGGGTGACGTCGGCCTCCCGTCCTCCCAGTCGGCGAAGAACGAGCGGTGGAAGGACTCGGCGTAGGTGTCGGCGTGCGAGCCGGGTGTGGTTAGGAACCGGACGTAGTCGGACAGAACGGCGGCCCGGACCTCCGGCTGGGAGACGTCGGCGAAACGCCCGGAGACCATGGTCCGAGCGGCTCGCAGGGAGCACAGGATGTTCAGGGTGTTGTCTCCGGCCTGGAGACCTGCAGGACCGGACAGACGATCAAGATCCGACAGTCACGGGTTCTGACACAGCTGCGGCTCTGAGCGCCGGTACCTTGGTGGTAGTGGACCGAGCCGTTGGAGGATCGCCACAGGTCCAGCTTATCATGGAGGATGACGCTCCCTACCACGTCGACTCGCTTGGCGCCGGTGGACCAGGCGGTGCGACCGCTGCCGGCTGCAACAGGAAATAGGAAAGAACAGAGTCATCAACGAGGGAGAAGTTCCTCAGGGCCGGGTTCTGGAGACTCTTCTGTTCTGAAGAAGGAACATGATTAAAAGTATTCCAGCTATTCGCCACATCATCCATGACCAATCTAGCATTTTGATTGGTCGAGACACCAGAACATTGATGATGCTACCCGGCTGGTTTGGGATCCAGCCCCACAGCATGATGCTGCCACCACCATGCCATGCTCACTGGGGGTTTCCAACAGTTATACCAATCACTTGCCAGTTTTGGACTGAATAAACTTAAAATAGTATGATCAAAATAAAAATATATACATTTTAAAAAATAAAATCTTTAATTAACAGCAAATAAATACATCTAAAATTTATAAATACTAATAGATGATTATATATATATTTATCTAAACTGCATTTTGAAATAAATAAAAATAGTCTAAATAAAACATAAATGCAAAAAATAATTTTAAACTAATAAAACAGATCTATTTTTAAAAAAATATATTAAACTCATTAAAATATAATAAATATATTTTCTACTAGAAAAAACCAGGTTGACACCAAGAAATGGCTCCAGTTTCAACAGTTCAGATAAATTCATCCGTTTTGCTGAAACCCTGTTTACTGGTACAGATGTTGGACCGGCCCGGTTCTGGTACCTGTGTTAGACAGGGTCAGGATGCTGGACGGGTGTCTCTCTGCAGGCGCCTCAAAGCCGCGGATCCAGCCTCCGAAGTCCCTGCTGATGTCCTGGATGTTGTAGTACCAGTGGACCGGCATGGACAGGGAGTCTGCGGCGCACATGGCCCAGAACGCCTCGCTCACTGACCGCCTCACTGCAGACATGTCCAGCCTGCAACCTGCAGCAGCAAAAACACGTTTACTGGAACCGGAACCAGAACCGCTGATTTCAAACCTCACCTGTCCTCTGCCAAGAACTTCTCCCTCCTCATCAGAACTTATATAAGCGCTTATCAAATAGTTACAAAACTCAGCAGGAAGTGGCCCGCCTGTAAACATCCGGTCCTCCCAGTAAAGACTGACACTTCCTCCGGTTACATACTGGTTTTTTTCTCATATATAACCGGATTATCAACAAAATGACACAGTAACGTTGTAATTCAGTAAACAAAGCAGCAGTACGGCGTACCGCGAGGGTCATTACATAAATTACTCCCTGAGTTTTTCCTCCCAGGCAGGAACATTTATTTTTATTTTAAAATTAATGATCGAAATAGTTTCGCAGATCACAGACATTTATCAATTCGATTATTATTTTATATTAATGATAGTTTTTTTTAAAGTGCGGCAGATTATATTTTAAATATAAATAACTATACCTGTCAGACAAAAGTCAGGGAAAACAACCACTCATTGTACGGCGGCCCGCTTGAACCAAGTTGCTTCCAGGCATAAACCATGCTGCAGGTTGTGTTAGTTTTCGGTTAAATTGGAGCTAATCTGGAGTTTAAACCGTTTTTCCGGTCACTGCAGGGCTGATTAATGCTAATACTATGATTTAGTTTCAGTTCTGCATCTGCCGTTAGCGCTCTGGGTCAGAGTGGATCGGTACCAGCACAAACTGGGTTTGTTTGGCTTTGTGTTCTCAGCTGGAGCTAGCTTAGCGCTGCTAGCTGTCCGTGGACATGGGGGACGTGTTGGATCCACGGGATGTGGGTAAGACAGTGGAGCCCACTCAAACTGGGAGATAACTGGTCACAGTAGGGCATTACATGGTATAAACTGGACAATAATTCATTTTTTTCTGTCAGAACTGTGATTTCTAACTACAGATTTCGGTCTGAGTGATGCTTGTTGCCGCCATATTGGTCAGGGCAAGTCAGCCACAGTTCTTCAGGGCAATCTGAACTTCAGTTCAATCTATTTCTGTGACTTATTTATTTAATCAAAAGCTTTTCATTTCTGAAAGTATGCACACCTCCTGGACCTTCTCACATGCTAGCAGCAGAGGGCGCAGTGTGTGTTCTGCAGCTCACTGCTGGTCTCGGTTCTGCAGAGAGGGCGAAAAGCTTCTGGGCGGAGAAGGACGTGGAGCAGGTCTTCACCGGGGTCTCCCAGTACCTGGACCACCTGAAGCAGGCCCTGCAGAGGAAGACGGCTCTAGATAAAGGTACTGGTCCGTCCTGGCTGGGGTCCAGACTTTCCTGCATGGTTCTGGTGTGATGCTGGTTCTGTTGCAGAGTACGTCCAGGCCCAGAGGCTGCTGGAGTGTCTGGACCTCGTTCCTCTCGGGTCTCCTCCGGACCAGGACCAGGACTCCTCCGTGGTCCAGGTGGTCATCGGTTCAGGTACTCAACTACTGTAAAAATATGTTTTGAACATTATTCTATGAACTTTGTACATAAACTTAAAAATATTGTTATAAATTTATGAAGTTCCAATATAACTATAAATATTGGGTTCTGACTGACCCTGTGTGTCTGCAGGAGGGCTGCTGCCAGCTCACTTCAACGGACTGTCGCCCCCTGCTGGCAGAGAGGAGCTGCTACCTCCGCTGGCGCCGGTCCAGCTGCAGTACCACCCTCACCCCTGCTGCAAGGTGAGGAGGAGCAGAACCGGGCCAGTGACGGGATGACCTCTGACCTCTGTGTGTTCCCAGGCCTGCCTGCCCGGGTTACCCAGAACCCCCCAGTCCAGCTCGCAGCTGTACGGCCAGAACCCGCTGAAGGTGCCGCTGCTGTGCGGCTTCAAGAGGCTGAGCGCCATGCCGCTAGTGTCCCCGACCGGAACCGGCCCGGACGGCCTGGACGTGGCTGTTGCCGGGGGCGACTGGGACGTCATCTACAAGACGCCGTGCGGACAGAGCCTCAGAAACTTCCAAGAAGTCGAGTCCTTCCTATCGGCGACGGAGAGCCACGACGTCCTGCAGGTGAACCAGAACCGGGCCTGAGAGCCCGCTCTAACCCGCTCAGACGTGGTTCTGACCCGGTCTTTTCCCGGTCTGTCCCCTCTGCAGGTGGACTACTTCACCTTCAACCACCTGGTGCAGCTGGACCCGACCCCTCTGCCGGCGCAGCCGCAGAACGACCTGAGCCGGGGGGCGGAGCCTGTTCCCGTGGAGCTGGTGCTGGGCGAGGGGGGAGGCCGGCCCGCGGGCTTCCGGTACCGGAAGGACCGCTGGCCGCACGGCTGCTTCCTGAGCCGCGGCGCCGCGCTGTTCGACACCTGCTGCGACTGCAGCGACGGCTGCAGCGAGGCGCGGCGCTGCGCCTGTGTTGCCATGACGACCGGGGGGCGGGGCTACAGCTACCAGAGGCTGCTGGAGCCGGTCCAGTCAGGGTGAGAACAGGACGTTTCCCTCCCTTCATCATCACTCCTCTTCATCACTCCTCCTCCTCTTCATCATCGCTCTTCTTCATCACTCCTCATCTTCATCATCACTCCTCCTCCTCTTCATCATCACTCCTCCTCTTCATCACTCCTCCTCCTCTTCATCATCGCTCTTCTTCATCACTCCTCATCTTCATCATCGCTCTTCTTCATCACTTCTCCTCTTCATCATCACTCCTCCTCTTCATCACTTCTCCTCTTCATCATCACTCCTCCTCTTCATCATCACTCTGCCTCCTCTTCATCACTTCTCCTCTTCATCATCACTCTGCCTAGTCTTCATCACTCCTCCTCTTCATCATCACTCCTCCTCTTCATCATCACTCCTCCTCCTCTTCATCACTCCTCCTCTTCATCATCACTCCTCCTCCTCTTCATCACTCCTCCTCTTCATCACTTCTCCTCTTCATCATCACTCCTCCTACTCTTCAGCACTCCTCCTCCTCTTCATCACTCCTCCTCCTTTTCATCATCACTCTGCCTCCTCTTCATCATCCCTCCTCCTCTTCATCACTCCTCCTCCTCTTCATCATCACTCCTCTTCATCACTTCTCCTCCTCTTCATCATCACTCCTCTTCATCACTCCTCCTCTTCATCACTTCTCCTCTTCATCATCACTCCTCCTCTTCATCATCCCTCCTCTTCATCATCCCTCCTCTTCATCATCACTCTGCCTAGTCTTCATCACTCCTCCTCTTCATCATCACTCCTCCTCTTCATCATCCCTCCTCCTCCTCTTCATCATCGCTCTTCTTCATCACTCCTCATCTTCATCATCACTCCTCCTCTTCATCACTCCTTCTCTTCATCATCACTCCTCCTCCTCTTCATCATCCCTCCTCCTCTTCATCACTCCTCCTCTTTATCATCACTCCCTCTCTTCATCATCACTCCTCCTCCTCTTCATCACTCCTCCTCTTCATCATCCCTCCTCTTCCTCCAGCCTGTTTGAGTGCGGTCCGTGGTGCGGCTGCGACCGGGCCCGCTGCCAGAACCGGCTGGTCCAGAGAGGGGTCAGAGTTCGTCTCCAGGTCTTTGAGACCGAGGATCGGGGCTGGGGTGTCCGTTGCCGTGACGACCTGGACCGAGGCACGTTCGTCTGCATCTACGCAGGTCGGCTGGAAATCAGTATAAATATATAAACCAATAAAGTCGTTTGTTGAAGGTCCAGATGATTTTGATCAGTTTTAGTCCTGGTGAATATTTTACAATTTATAATCAATAATTCGTTTGGTAGAATGTTTTGTTTTTTCTTTTTGTTAAATAATGTTGAGCAGAGTTTAATTCAATTTCAAACAAATTATTGAAATGTAGCTTTTTTTCCCTTTATTTAAAGTATTTATATTTTTGGTGTTTTAGCATTATATCATTAAAATATCATAAAATATACATTTTTGCTTCATGTTTTTTAATTTTTCTTTTTTGAGTATTAATTATTCTTTTATGAATCTTTATTGTCATTTATTTTGCATTATATTAGTATGATAATAATGAAGTATTTATAGATTATCTAAATAAAAAAATGTTTTACATATTTTCATTTCATTCTAAAAATGTTTTCATAAAATTCTCTGTTTTTGCACAAGTACACAATATAAATATTAAAGTAGACATTTTCATAGTTTTTAAATTTCTCATTAGTCATAGGTTCTGTTAATAGTGGTGGTTCTGTTAACAGGTCCGGTTCTGTTAGTAGTCGTGGTTCTGTTCACAGGCGTGGTTCTGCAGCGGGCCCACAGCCCCACGGAGCCGCTGCCCCCCAAGCTGACCCGGGCCGAGCTGCCTTCAGACGACGAGGTGGAGGTCGTCACCGAGTGGCTGGCCCCGCCCATCCTGGAGGCGCGCAGCGACCTGCTGGAGGCCCCGCCCCCTCCGACAGGCTCCGCCCCCTCCACGCAGCACGTCCCAGTGATCCAGAGACCCGGCGAGTCCAGCGGCGCCGCTCAGAACCACGACCAGGTTGGTTCTGACCAGGTTGGTTCTGACCAGGTTGGTTCTGACCAGGTTGGTTCTGACCAGGTTGGTTCTGTCCAGGATGGTTTTCATGGTGAGTTACTGCTGCTTCATGACGTCTGATGGTTCCGGTTCTGGTTCTGCAGGACGGAGGCCTGGCTGAAGTGAGGGTTGCCGTGTCGATGGACATCCAGGAGGACGGCAGCCCGACGAGTTTCAAACGAGGAGCAGAGAGAGAGGAAGTCTGCTTCATCGACGCCAGCAAGGAGGGAAACGTCGGACGCTTCATCAACGTGAGTCTGGAGGAATGTTCATGGAAAGTTGAGTGAAAGGAAAAAGTGAAAGTCAAGAAACCGTTGGTTTGCTAATTTTTTTACTGAATATATTTATTGATTTATTTATGTATTTATTCTCATCTCGGCCCACAGCACAGCTGCCAACCCAACCTGTTCATCCAGAACGTCTTCACGGACTCCCATGACCCCGCCTTCCCGGTCATCGCCTTCTTCACCAACAGGTGAAGGGGAGGAGTCACTGTAAGCCCCGCCCCTTTTTTACCCTCAGGTGTGTTTTCATTGGTTTTGTGTCCTTCAGGGTGGTGAAAGCTGGCACTGAGCTCACCTGGAACTACTCTGACGCTCACACCTCCACCTCAGAGCAGGAACAGGAAGTGCCCTGTCTCTGCCGTAGCAACGGTTGCCAGGGATGGCTCCACCTGGAGGAGAAGCTGTGTGACGTCTGTGCAGCTGAAGGTCCAGGAGCGACGGAGGAAAACTGAGTTATGCTGCAGCTTCTTACTGATTCCTATTCTAAAAGTGTTAATGTTGTAAAATCTGTTTGAGCTTATTTGTTATTTAAAAAGTTGTGCAATTGAAAAAATATTTTCATAAAGTACTTTGAAATGTTTGTAGATTTTATTCATTTTTTTGTTTATTTGATCAAAACTCTTATTTTGAAACTGAAAACAAAGAAGCATCATGAAATCATCGCAAAACACTTTTTGGGCCATTTCAACATATTTATTTACCTTCTAAAGGTCTGGATGTAATTTTATGACACTTTGTCAGGGTCATTATGGGTGTAAAAAACAATAAATTTAACATAAAAATTTAGAAAATTTGAGATTCTTAGAATTTTATTTTAGAACTTAAATTTCTGATTCACTTCTCATTTCTTTCCCTTTTTGACTTTATAAAACCTGGAGGGTTGTTTAATAATTTTTTTACTTTCTAAACTTTTTTATCTCCCTGAGATTAATAAAACAATGTAAAAAATGTACTACTTTCAATATTTATTTAGAAATTACGGCTCTGGGTGTACAGAGCTCTTATTGTGAAAACGGGAAGTGGCTTTATTGTGACAGTCAGGAGCGGAAGTTAGCGTTCTGTTTATCTCTGCTCCTCGGCTCCGTGTGAGCCACTGTCCTGCTGACACCGACCGACCATGATTTCCGCTCTGTGGCCTCCTCTCCTCCTCCTCGGCCTCTCCTGGGCCGTCCTCGGTTCCGCCTCCTCCTCCTGCCGGGTCCAGATCCCTCCTCATGACCAGGTGGCCCGGGTGGCCCGCTTCATCGCCCACCAGTGTGACTGGGCCTCCATGGCCACCATCTCCAGCCACAAGCCGGTGGAGGGTCAGCCGTTCTCCAACGTCTTCTCGGTGAGCGACGGGCCTCCCGGAACCAGCTCCGGGGTTCCCTACATGTACCTGACCCACATGGAGGTGTCGGTCCAAGACCTGCAGGTAAATCCCGGTTCTGTTACACAAACAAACGTCACGTGACGTTGGGCTCCGGCATGACGCAGCACGTTTTATAAACAGTGACGCAGCAGTTTGGAGATCTGCTGACCTTTAAACATTTAAACATTGTAAAATGTTAATTAGCCATTTTCATTTTCATTACAAAATATTTAAAATATTAATATTTAAACAAAAATGCATTGAAATAATTCATATTTATAACTTTAAAACCTTTTAAAGCTTGTTTATCATTGCACTATAAGATATTTGTAACTTCTATATGAGTTATTAATAAAGCGTGACCTTTGACCCCCAGGTGAACCCTCAGGCGTCCCTGGCCATGTCTCTGGCCCAGACGGATTATTGCAAGCAGCAGGGCTTCGACCCTCAGAGCCCGCTCTGCGCTCACATCATCCTGTCTGGATCCGTCGTCCAGGTAACAACTCTCACCTGTTCCCCAGGTAAACACAGGCGCTCACATGACCTCTGACCCTGCTGTGTTCCAGGTGAACGGGACCGAGGCGGACTTTGCAAAGAAAGCTCTGTTCAGCCGACACCCAGAGATGATCGACTGGCCCACCGACCACAACTGGTTCTTTGCCAAGTTCAACATCACTCAGGTACCAAACCACCAGAACCAGCAGAACCGGTTCTGTTCCGGCCCGGTCTCAGACCTCCTCCCTGCCCCGTTTCAGGTGTGGGTGCTGGATTACTTCGGCGGGGTGAAGACCGTCTCTCCTGACGAATATTTCCAGGCGGCGCCCCACAGGAAGCATCACTGAGGGTGAGAGCTGCTGGTCTTTGTAGTCCTTTATTTGCTGTTTGTAGTCCTGAAGCTGAAGTTGTTTTGAAAAAACATTTCTAAATTAAAAAAATCAATTTTATAAACCTTGAAAACATAGAAATTTCTAGAATGTTGATAAAAATGATCAGTAAATAATTAATTATTATGTGTTAATAAAATGATTTTTTTTTATTTAACAATCTACAATTAACTATAATGAGTGTCATAATATAATAATAAAGTTCATAGTAACATATTGCTACCTAAATTTCAAATAAATAAATACAAATAGAACAAGTAGTTTATAAATCATATATAATATAACATCTTACTGGATAGATAATATAAATTTGAATTAAATTAGAAGAAAATTACATTTTAATTTAAACTATCTTTAATGTTGGTTTAATAAAAAATTGTGCAACTTATTGTGATATAATATTATAATATATTTAATAAAAATATGATTTTAGTCATATTAGTTTTATGAAAATAACATTAGTAGAGATATTAATACTATTGATCATCTAATGATAGTGATATTTATTGTATTACTGAATATTGTAATAATAATATCCACCACAATCAGAAAATCAGTAATAAATTATGTTTGTGTTTAGGAATCAACCTTTGACCCGGAGTGATGATGATGATGAAGGCGTCCTCAGCCAGTTCTCTTCTTCTCTTTCTCTTCAAATTGTTCCACTTCTTCTTCTGACCAATTCATTAATCAATCAATCAGAACTAATGAATTGGAGTCAATTAAATGGCTGCTGAATCAAAAATGATAGATTTTAAGTCAGAACAATATTCATCTTTTTCAGAAATGTTGCTATAGACATGAATAATTAATTATATTTAAACATTAATAAACATAAAAAATATTTTTTTAAACAAAAAAAATGATTTTAGGAAGTTGTAGTTCAGAACTTTCACCACTGGGGGGAGACATTGGCCTAGACGCCATTGAAGCACTTTAAAGAGATTTATTTAAATATTTGCTTTAATATTGGGGATTATTATGAACCAAAGTGTTAAGAAGTTCTCTGACTGATTCTTCTGGTTGACCTTTGTCCTTCTGAATATTATTTATTAGGTATTGTGCATTTTTCTTGCAGTAACTACATTTCCCATGGTTCATAGCGATAGGAAGGTGGAGCATTAATTAGGAAATATTAGTTTAGACTCAGACTAAATTTCTTCACTTTAAACGTCTAAATGTGAATTTGTGATCATGTTTGTGTTTTTATCTTTAACAAAATGTCTCCACTTTTTCATGAAGGGCTCAGATCTGATGTTTTATCTTTTAATAAACAGAATAAGGCAATATTTCAGTGTGTTTGTCAGAATATATTTTCATACTTTTTTTAAAGAAAATCAGATGTATTTTTAGAAAGAAAAATAAAGATTTTTAGCAGAAACAGATCAGCGTTTGTGTTATTTTATATAAATGTGTGGTGAAGTTCTGATCCGGCCCGCAGCATGATGCTGCCGGTTTGTTCTGCAGAGCGATGGATCCTGAGTGAAGCTCACTGCAGGTAAACATCTCTGAAGCGTTGTGTGTGTTTCAGCTGAATTGGTGTTTCCGTGTGTGAGCAGAGCGGGGCGGTGTGTGTGTGTGTGTGTGTGTGTGTGTGTGTGTGTGTGTGTGCGTGTGCACGTGGGGGGGGGAGAGAAGTATGTCGCTGTGTGTCACCTGGCACAGCAGCTCCTCACCACTTCCTGTCCCATTTCATCACCACGCTGCAGAGGAAGACGCCTCACTTCGCTGCTGCCGCTGCACGACTCGGAGCGCTGTGAACTACCTGCACCGACTGGGGACACTGGTCTGAGATGGAGCTCCAGAACCGGGTACTGGGCCTGCTGGTCCTCGCCTCCCTGCTGCCCTCCACAGGTAGGCGTCGCCACGCCGCTCACCTCAGAGCAGAGGTCAGTCTGACTGCTGCTTGGATTTGACTAGGACGTTTTGTGTCCAAATGAAAGCGACCGATGGCAGTCTGCAGTTGGTTCAGCATGAAAAAACTCAATTTTCAGTTTTTGTTTCATAAGAAAATTATTTTCAGAAAATTTAAAAATAAACCAGCGTGTTTCTGCTGTTAGTCTGCCATTTACAATCTGAAAACAAGTTGCTAAAACATCTAAAAAAAATACAGCAGTTCTTTAAAAAAAGATTTTTTCTTTCTTATTATTGAATTTGATATATATATATATATATATCTATATATATATATATATATATATAGAGATATATATAGATATATATATATATGAGAAAATGTTTTGGCTGTTTTCTGAAAGCAGAGCTTTGTTCAGTCAAAACTTCGACAACAAAAAGAAGCTAAAGATGAGCGAAGCCTCTGGCGGCCATCTTTGATCCTGAGTTGTTCTTCTTACAGAACCAAATAAAAAGTTTCCTTCATGAAGTTTAATATTTAAAACTTAAATTGATTAAATAAACCTGAAGTCGTCATGATGTATCGGACGTTTAACGGCAGCAAGTTATTTTAAACTTTAGCATGTAAGCTAACAAACAAGATTAGCATCAGCACAGATATTTAATGTTTTCACAAGAAAAGAGAGAAATGTCAATGTTGGCTCAAACCTTTCAAATTAAGACAGAAATGATCATGAACGCCATAAATCTGTCAGCTGCAAACTAATTTATTCTTTCCTTCATCGCAAAACAAACATTTATGGAACAGTTTACCTTTTTTATCATTCTTTTTTACATATTTTTCAAATATTTTACCCTTTAATTTTAAAATAATTACAAAATTGTACATTTAATGTATCAAACTTGAAATATGACACATTTATTACATTTTACAGGCCACGTAGCGTCACATTTATCACTAAAAATGTTTCAAAGTTCAACCACTAAAGCAGCTCAAGAAAAATGTTTTGAAGTTTTGAAGCATATTACAGAAAGTTACAACACTGTTAATGTGTCAAAGTGGGTTCAAACCTTTAAAATGACCAAAAATAAACTGTTTTTGAAGAATGATTTATTTTCCTTTCATTTTAATTTCTTTTTAATGATTAAATTTAGATGATCAAATCTGACCCTCGTCATTTTAACGGTGATTAAAAACGATTTTAATTAAAACTATCAATTATCAATTAATTAAAACATTTTAACAGCAGTTGTGTTAAACCTGGTTCCAAACACTGAAAATGTGTTTTCAGTGTTTACTGTTGTTGCATAAAAAAATGCAACAACAGTAAAACGTTCAAATGAAATCAGGCTTCTGAGTTTTAAAGAAACAAAAACCTTCAATCTTTGAACGTTAAAGTTGGCGGCCATGTTTTACGCTAATTTTCTTTGGTTTCAGAAAGATTAAATATAAAATAGCCGACATGCGTTTTTATTCCTGTTTTAGTCATTTTCTGATTGGTGAGGTTAATAATGACGTTAATAAATAAATTAAGTTTAACTGCAGATGAACAGCAGTGACCCTAACATTTAGCATTTAGCATTTAGCTCGCAAACTGGATTAGCATCCAGACAGTTGAACTAATGACAGACTTTTATTTTTAAAAGTTATTTGGTATCATTAAGATAAAGTTTTTCAAACATTCAGGGAAATATAATATTTAAAAATGAAAACAATTTTAATGGATTTCTTTCAAAATATTTGATTTTTTTTAGTTCACTAAAAACATGCGGAGAAATAAAACTAATATTTAGTATGAAAACTTGAACTAACTAGTTTAATTAAATTAAATTATGTGATTTAATCATTTAGTTTGTAATTTAAGTTTTTAAAAATGAATCAAAGTTATGACGTAAACAAATAAAATCAATTTAATCGCAGCCGATGTGATTAAACATTTTAGTGGCGAATATGTAAATGAATCCATATTTAGGTGTTTATTAGTTAAATCTATAAAAGACTATTTAAACACAAAATTACAAGAGTTTAAATGTCATTTTGCAAAAAATAAAATTTCTGGTGTTTGAAAGGCAGTTTATAGATTTAATGAAGCAAAGTTTGATTCATAACAAAATGAGCTTTTAATAAAAATGTATTAAAATTAAACAGATAAAACCCAGAAAAATCAATAAACAGAGTGAATAAAACTCTTTGTCATAATTATTAGAGCGTTAACCATATTTTATACTGAAAGTGTTTAACTCTTCAGAAGTGTTGGGCTTATGGGCCCGGTTCCTGGTCCGGTTCAGCCCGGTCCTTTGGGTCTGAATGTGTCTGAATTCATATTAAACTGGAATAAATAATTTGAATTTGTTTGAATTTCAACCAGTTTAGGAGAAACAATAGAAACACTAAATGTTTCTAAACTAGATAAATTCACAGTTCAGCTAAATGAGAGACAAACAGAACCAGATCCGGGTCCAGTCACGGTTCTGTTGGGTTAAACATGATAAACTTTAATTTAACGACATTTAAAAGCAGATCAAATAAACTATATTTATTCAGCAGGAGATGCAAAGATGATTTTATTTAAAATGAAAACTGGAGATACTGATGCGCTCCGTTTTGAAAAATAAACTTTTAACCAGAAATAAAGTTTAATAAAAACCTTAAACTGGATCTCATTATTTAATCACATATTATTAACATATTATTATTATTTAATAACTGATTATTGATCATAAGAGACGAGTTAGAAACTGGTCTGCTGCTAAGTCAGCAGAGTTTTACCCTTAAATTTACATCAGATTAATTTATCTTCTGATCAAAAGCTGAACCCGGTTCTGATGGAACCGGTTCTGCAGCCTCTGCCTCAGAGCCGTTGAGCAAGCGATGTTAATCCCCCGCTCAGGAAGCAGCTCTGTGGTTTTCCTCTCTGAAGCATCTGAACATCAGCTCTGCGGTCCGATAAAGTGACCAGAACCGCATGGCTGCAGCTGATAACAGCCAGCGGAACCAGCTGATAGCTGGGCGGCCATGTTGGACAGGGAGAGCGAGGGGAAAACGCCTCAACATGTCGCTGACGGAGCGCCGAGGCGTCCTGGATTCAGGCTTCAGGTGTGTTGGGTAAACTGCCAACGGTGCGACCGCAGCAGCTTCACGGAGACGAGCAGATAGTCTGAGGAGGAAACACGCAGCGCCGCCATCTTCTGAAGACACTTTATGTTCACAAAGTTTTCCACAATCACAGCCGGAAACCCGGATCAGCATCATCCCACTTTTATTCCTGAACACGAGAGCAAAAATCTGCAACCTGGACGAAAACAACAGGCTGCAAATGAAGAGAATGAAGAGAATGAAGCGACCAACGCAGTCAGTGAACGCATCATCACATCCCAACTCCTCTAGGGCCAAGTCCACATCCAAACAGAACCGGGCCAGAACCGGGCAAGAAACTTCCAGCTTCCTCCGTCTGCTGACCGTCAGGAGCTGTAGGCAGAAAAAAGTTCTGCACTGAAAAACTCTGACAGTTTGAGATTCTAAAAAAAACTTTTCAGGAAAACAAGAAACTCTGAGTTTTAAGCCAAGTTTTTCTAGACAAAACAAATCTCTGAGTTTGACGACCAAAATCTTCCAGAAAAAAACTGGAAAATTAATGAGTTTGAAAATTTGCTAATAAAATCCCAAAAGCCTCTGAAATGTTGAGCTTAATCTCAATATTTTGAGGAAAGAATGCAGAAATCTGAGTTTAAATATTCTAGAAAAAACAAGAAATTTATGGATTTGAAAAGATGTAAGTTTTCTAAAACGCTTAGAAAGTTTTAGATTAATTTCAACAACGATTTTATAGAAAAAATATTTTGTAAAGTAATGTTTGTTTCTAGAAAATTTGAGCCATTTCTAGTCAATTTTCTGTTTTTAAATCTAGAAAAGTTCTTTTTTTATATAGAAACTTTCTGTTTTTAATATTCCGTCTACAAAGCGTCGCTGCCGTCGCTTTCGGCTCTGATCAACTTTAGACGATAAACGGCGGCCATCTTAACTCAGGGCTTCTCCGTTCTTCTTCTCTGCACGTCGCTTCGTATAAAAGTCCGACTGCCGGAGATGAAAAGGACTAACGCGGCGCCACCTATCACTGCTCCAGAGGAACTGCTGCTTTAAAGGTGCAGCTGATTTCCCTGGAGCAGAGAGCCCAACTAACCCAGCAGCTAATGTCTGCTTGTTAGAAACACCTGGAGGTTGATACTGGACTGGACCCGGTTCCGTGGAGTCCGAGGTTTCACGAGAATCTTCTGAAACCTTGAAGACATACCATGTCTTCAAGGCAACATATGGTAGTTAAGTGTCTTTCGCTCAGTCAGCGTTTCCTTCCTGCGTCTCGTCGCCTGCAGGCATCTGGACCAAAGGTGGACCTGCAGATCAGGTTCTGTTTCCGACCCGAAGCTGAAACCAGGTGAAAGGTTTTTCTCTCCATCAGAGTGAAGAGAGAAATTTAAATAAAAAAAATTCCCATCATGCATTTTTTACTGAACGTGTTTGGAAACAAAAATTTACAGTTTATTTTATGAGTTTAGCCGCGTTAGAAAAGTTTTCCCTGTAAACCTGAACCCAAGTGATCCGAGTTCACGTCCCTGTGGAGCCTCCATTTCAAACCAGTCGTTAGCTTGTTGTAGCAGTTTGTTCTTTTAAGGCTTCCAGTTTTTATTTTAATGTTTGTATCTATTTTAGAAGCGTGAAAAATGTCAGGCGGTGATAAGATCTCATCCTCTGCATCATCGGCACCAACGCAGCTCTGAGAACGGCGCCCTTCGTTAATATTAGTCCACTTCCTGTCTGTTCATCAGACGGAGGAGTAAAAACTGATCCCAGTCAAATCTGAGACAAATTCAGCCTGAAAAGCTTCGTTTTGTGATCTGATGTCACTTTCAGTTCACATTATTCAAAGTAGAGAAATTGTTGTACCAACCACAGAGCTGAAGAGGAAGTGGGCCAAGAAGACACCCTGTGGGACTCCTGTTTGACTTTCCTCGTCTCTGAGAAACGCCTGCAGGCTCAGCTTCAGTTTGCGACTAAAACAGCAGAAAACTTCTTTTCTTCTTCCTCCATTCAGTCCAGATGGATCGTTTAACGCCTTACAATGAGATTTAGGTTAGGAAAAAATTAATTTCATGTAAAAATGTGAAGATTAGATCTTTATAAAAGTCCCCAATAAGCTGAAGATTCTTGGAGCCGTTTTATTTTGATTTCAGGTTTTATTCTTTCTTCCTGCTGGATGTAACTGCAGTGAAAAGTTTGACTTTCTGCTCCGTTAAAGTTTTACTGGTAGTTTGATCCAGTCTGAAAATCCAACCAGAGGCTTCGTCATTTATTTTTACCTTCATCATTTGGTTTTACCTTTTAAAAATGTAACTTAATGACATAATTAGTAGAAATGAAGACGAGATACAAACAACAAACTGATATAAAATGTCTTTATCGGCTCCACTTCCTGCTGGATCTTCATCAGTTAAACTCATCAAACTCTTTATTTTCCTCCGTTAATCTGACACGTTTTTCTGCAAAGTCTGAATGAAACTAGATTTAAATGTAATAATGATCACAAATGAATCCTAATCATCTAAACAGATCAATAACTTCACGCTGACGTTTCCTGCTTTCTGATTTTCTGCATGTTTTTACGCCCAGCATGCAGACGCGGCGTCTTGATGCTCAGACTGAAGGTTTTCTGTCGCTGCAGCGTCTCTTTGAGTCGAGGGGCTTCAGCAGCTGATAAAAATCATTTCTCTGTTTTCAGCCCCATGTTTTTTCGTTCAGGAAGCCGTCGCCGCTTCTGAACTCTGAAGCTTTGCTCAGCAGGTGTTAATGAGCAGCTTCAGCCTGAAGCCCTGCAGTCAAAGTTTCTCTGGTTTTATCAGGCCGACAGCCGAGGATCCGGCGAGGAGGAACCCCTGCTGTGATGGAAACTCAGCCTGGAAACGCTGATCTGCAGAGAAACGATGATTCATGAAGAATCTGAGTGAAATGATCCGTTGTTTCCACTGAGTGTTTACATCTGCAGTCACATCAGGTTTCCAGTAAACCCAGCATCACCAGTAAACCCAGTTCATGAAGCGTTATTGTTAAATATCTTTAATTATTTTACATTAAGCTAATTTAATCCAAACAAATTTTGCACTTTAAAAACAAAGTTTAACATTTTAAATATCACAACTTTCATTTCTTGATCAATTTTACAACAGAAATAAAATATTATTTTGTTTGTTTTTAAATCAAACTGACACTGAAAAAAATTTATTTAACTTTTGATCCAAAAGTTTGATTTTCTCACATTGTTTCCATTTTAACATCGTTTTTCAAACTCACAGAAAAACTACAAATAATGTGTAAATCTCTAAATAATGTTGTGTTTCTACAACATTTCTGACGTTAAACGTTTATATTCTGCAGAGAAAATATTGATTTAATTTCTGTTATTTGGCAGAAATGATCCGATTGAAGTTTCAACAGAAACCAGAACAAAGAGGGAAAAACTAACTAACATCTGATTAGTTTGATTTCTCTAAATAAGTACAAAAATATTTACAAAATAGAATCAGCTCCATTTTTAATGAATTCTCAAAAATCAGATGATAAATTTTAAAAAGAGCTGCAGCTAAAAACGCTCCAAACATCTGGATGGGAAATAAAAAACTTTACTCCGTTTAGTTTAACAAACTTTATTAATGTTGAAATATAACTAAATTATTAGGTAGTTTAGTTATTAATATTAACACTATAAATAATTTTCTTGTCCTGAAGTGAGAAGTTGAATAAACTTTGTTGTTAAATTTAGTTAAAAATGTAATCAATTAATCAATAAATAATCTTTATTAATCAGAAGCTTCAGCATCTCATTGATAAACCACCAGAAAACAGAAACACAGCAAAAGATCAAAAGGTTTTTAAATTAGTTTTCGTTTTATTAAAACCTGCAAAAACATTAATGATTATTTTCAGTGTAAAACTTTAAAAAGCTTTAATTTGTTTTATTATTATTCTTCTTTCTGTTGACATGTTTCTGCATATTGTTTCTAGTTTCAACTTTGATTCATTTTTGGTTTTACTCCTGATTCCTGTTTTGAACTTTTAACGTTTTAGAGATAAAAACACGTTTAGATTCATTTCTCTCGTTTTAAAATGTTTCTCCGGCACAGAGAAGAAGAGGAAGGTTCAGAAAAGCAAACAGGAAGTCGCTCTAATCGTCTGAGGTTTACGGCGTTACGTTTCTGCACTAAATGGTTCCTGATTGTTAGACTTTAGTCAGTTTTTTGTCACTGAGCTGCTGCTGGTCAACAAGATGCACAATTATACAACCATACATCTTTGAAAAGCATTAGTGGAGCCTCCTGCACAACCAACCAGAAAGTAGCAAGTGGCACATCGTGTTGCTATGCAACGTTGCGGTTGCTAGGCAACAGGGCAGTGCCTGCTGAAACGTCTCATTTTCCAGAAACCAGAACCAGAACCTGAACCAGAACCAGAACCAGAACCTGAACCTGAACCTGAACCAGAACCAGAATCAGAACCAGAACCTGAACCAGAACCAGAACCAGAACCTGAACCTGAACCTGAACCTGAACCAGAACCAGAACCAGAACCAGAACCAGAACCTGAACCAGAAACCAGAACCTGAACCTGAACCTGAACCTGAACCTGAACCAGAACCAGAACCAGAACCAGAACCCGAACCCGAACCCGAACCCGAACCCGAACCCGAACCAGAACCAGAACCAGAACCTGAACCAGAACCAGAACCAGAACCAGAACCAGAACCAGAACCAGAACCAGAACCAGAACCTGAACCAGAACCAGAACCAGAACCTGAACCTGAACCAGAACCAGAACCAGAACCAGAACCAGAACCAGAACCTGAACCTGAACCAGAACCTGAACCAGAACCAGAACCAGAACCTGAACCAGAACCAGAACCTGAACCTGAACCTGAACCAGAATCAGAATCTGAACCAGAACCAGAATCTGAACCAGAACCAGAATCAGAACCTGAACCTGAACCAGAATCAGAACCTGAACCTGAACCAGAATCAGAACCTTTGGCTAATAAACATCTGGATGGTTTTTAACATCTGGGTTGTTTTCAGAAGCAGCAGAAACACAAACTGACGTACAAAGATGTTAGAAATGTGAATTTTCCATCAGAGGTTCTGGTCCGGTCTAAGATTGGGAAGCCTGCTCTCTGATCTGGTTTGCTCAGACGGAACCGCTCCGGTTCTGCTCTGGTTCTGCTCCGGTTCTGTCTGCTCTCTTCGCTCTGGTCTCAGATTTAGTTTGGTGAACCTGCTTGTTTCAGTTCAGAGCCTCTGAAACTCTGCTGAGGTTTTGAGATGAAGGTTACTGCTGCATCTCAGTCTGACTGACACACACACACACACACACACACACACACACACACACACACACACACACACACTGAACCACACTCCAACACACACCTGTGAGCTAATGAGCCGCAGCGAGAGCTGAAGCAGCTGAAGAAACCGCTGAGCTTTGCTCATACACACATATACACACACACACACATATACACACACACACACACACACACACACACACACACACACACACACACACACACACACACGCACACATTCTAGCAGCTGCAGCCAGACCCTGACTGTCGGTGTGTGTCTCTCTCTGTGTGTGTGTGTGTGTGTGTGTGTGTGTGTGTGTGTGTGTGTGTGTGTGTGTGTGTGTGTGTGTTTTGACCTCCACAGAGGCGCTGAGCATCACTGACCCCCAGCTCTGCTACATCCTGGACGGGTTTCTGGGTCTCTACGGTCTCATCATGACCGGCATGTTCATCAAGGAGAAGGTGGGTCCAAACCCAACAGAACCAGGCAGAACCAGGCAGAACATGTTTCCATGACGGGTCAAACCAGGAACACATTATTATTTAAGACCAAGATTATCATAATCAAGAAGACAGATCAGTAAACTTTACATTTTAATGACCATTTAGCTCTAGAACTGGAAAACATTTTAAATATCTAAAATCAATAAACAAGTGAAATAAAATATCAAAACTATCCTTCAATAAAAAGCTGGTTGAGATTAAAACTTGTTTGTTTGGTAGAAAGAAAACAATAAACAGTTTTCCTGAAACATTAAGTCATTTTTCTGCCTTTAACACATTCAGCAGTGAATACATGAGGATGATTGACAGCACTAAGCCCCTCCTCCTGGCTCTGATTGGTGGTTTTTGCTGCAGGTCGATATTTTCACAGTCGATCAGCTTCATAACAAACTGTCATCACAAACATATTTTTATAAATTCGTTCTTTCAGACGGTTTGTGAGTTTTCAGAACTTATTCTGGACCTTCTGTGTTCCAGTTCTTCAGAACCAAAGCGAAGGGCTCAGACGATGGAACCTACGCTGTGAGTCCCGTCGTCTCGTCGTGTCGCAGCTCAGATTTTCTCTTGAATTCGTCTTCATGTGTTTTTGTGTTCAGTCTCTCAGCAGAGCGACGGGCGACACCTACGAGCCGCTGATGACCGACCCGGAGCGAGGACGGGTGAGTCCAGATGTCCGGTTCTGAAGGTTCTGGTTCTGTTCAGATGCTTCATCTTGTTTCTTCTCGTTGTGTCTCTCAGAACCGCCGAGCGCCGGATGACTCCACCTACACGGTACCAGACGAACCGTCCAGAACAGAACCGCAGTGACCTCTGGATGTTTATCTAACTGGTTCTGTTTGGGTTTCAGGGCCTGCAGAAACGATCAGAACCGACGTATAAAGAGCTTCCTGTGAGGAGAGAGGTGAGCGTCTGAACACGATGAGGTTCTGTCAGGTTCTGGAACCGGTTGCATTAAAAACTCTTGTTTTTGCAGCGTCAGCGGAAGAACGAGCAGGTTTACCAGGTGAGTACCGACCGGACCGGACCGGACCGACCCGTCCAACATCTGCTCTGATCAGCTGATTGATTAATTGATGGCTGCTTTCAGGGTCTGAGCTCGGTCACCAGAGACACCTACGACTCCCTGCAGATGCAGCCGCTTCCGGCCCGCTAACCGGGTCGGTTCTGAAGAATCCTGCAGATCAGCACCAAGTTTTACTCTGATTGGACCCGACGGCTCCTCAACATCTGGGAATTTAAGGCTTTTCCCACCAGATTTGGAGCTTTAAAATTCTGAAATATGACAGTTTTTTATTTAGAGCTCATCAATGTGATCAATAGTTTTGATTAGTTTAAAGGGAAATCAATAATTCCACTCATTAATTAGCATTCGATGCCGAGAAGTTTCACTGTTGTGTAAATATTTGTATGAGGATGAGAAACAGGAGGAAACCTGCTCAATAGTTTCTGCTTCTAATGTCTGACTGTGTGAAGTCTGAAGAACCTGAAGTCAGTTTGAACTGGATGGAAACACAAGAAGGACAATTTAAACACATTTAGTCAAATCAGAGATAAAATCAAATGAAATAGATATTTAGGTTAACATTAATATGATGGACATTATGATCATTTAATTGTTATTCTGCTGGTTTTAATCATATTTCTTGTCTCCTATGACTCATTTTTATTAACTTTTGTTGTTTTTTTATGTTTTCCTGAGAATTTCTGCTGTTTTTAGAATGTTTATTAAATGTAAAGCTTTTATCTGATGATTAAATGAGTCTTAAATGAACATCTGTTACTCATTTCTGCCTCCTGGTGGACAGAATGAAGGTTTGCAATAATAAAGATTTACCTATAATTTATTCAATTTTGCCAGTAGAATTAGTTACTTATTTAATTGGAAGATTGTTTCACTCATAATTTGGGTAAATGTTATAAATGTTATCAGTGAATAATCTGCATGATTCATCAATATTAAGAAATAATTGACTGAAAAGAAGCTCATGTGTTTTGCTGAAGTTATTAGTCACTGGCTCCTAGTGAGGGACCAGACCAAGAGCAGCAAGAGACCAACTAGAACTAGAAGTCAGGGTTTCCTCTGCTTCATCAGCCTGCCGGGCTGATACTGTTGTACTGTAGTGAGAAGGGGCGGAGCCTGAGGTGAGTCAGGAACAATAAGATCAGGAGAAACAGATTATTCACTTTTTATCAGTAAAACAATCAGAGGAGGGCTTCACAACCCTCCTCTGAATTATGACACTCAAAACTTTGTAATATTTTAACCCAAAAACGCAGTGGGCCGCTGATGGACGACCTTATGACCCCACCCTGAAGTGTTCCCAGGAAATTCCTGCATCAGGAATTTTGTGTTAAATGATATTTACTAGTTTGATTAACATTGATCTGAAACCTTCACCTTCCATTTATGACACATCAGAAAAAGTTCCTGCTGGACGGATCTTAATGTTTGGAGGTTGAACCTTTTTTTTTCAGGCATGTTGGCAACGAGGAAACATTCCTGCACAGCAGAGACAGAAACTGGTAAACATCTTCCAGTGAACGGCTGCAGCAGTTAAAACCTGTTTGTAACTCTGCAGGTTTTTAACTTTCGTTGGAAAACGTTTGAGACAAACTAGTTGAACAACTTAAAGCCTCCAGGCTAAAAGAGACAAAGATTAAAGAAGTTTATGTTCAGCAGTGAAGGAGGATCAGGTGAGTTAGTAACACCATAAAAACACCAGGATAAAGTTGGTTCTGATCCGTTTGGATCACATTATGGCTTGTAACACCTGATCATTTTCAGCATTAAAACCTGTTTTTATAAAACCAAATCTCATTATTTCTCAGGGTTCTGGTCGGTCCTGAAACCGGTAAACGGACCTGGAGGATCACAGAGACAGAAATGATGAAACTCCAACAAAACTATGAGGAAACTGAAGCTCCTGACCTTTAACCTCCTCACAGCTCCATGGCTGAATGAGGAAACTGAAGGTCCCGCCTTTCCTCGGAACTGGATCAGAACCGGTTCAGCAGCGTCTGAATCAGCCAATCAGCAGTGGAGTTTCTTCCTGCGTGTCTCTGCTGGTTCCAGTAGAAACGGTGATCTGGAGTCAGAGGTGATCCGCTGCTGGGATCTGATGGACGACTCTCTGTTCTGAGAGGAAGATGAAGATGATGATGATGATGATGATCCTCCTGCTCGGTAAGATCATCTTCCTCTCTGCTCCTCATCCTCTCCAGTCTCTGCAAGCTGCTGATCAGCTTCAGAGCTTCTGGGTTCTGGTCCGTTCTTCTCTCTAAATGACCCCTGGTGACCTCAGCTGGTTGATGGTTCTGGATCAGAACCTCAGGTTCTGGTTCCAGCGTCTCGTCTCTCACCAGTCCTCCCAGTAGATCTCACTGGTTTATTGTTGCTGGTTGGATTCTGGTCTCTTCCATCCAACCAGTGGCTCCACTTTGCCGTTTTCTGTCTGGATCCAATTTCTCTGGTTTGGGTTCAGCAGCTGATCTGGTTCTGATGTTTTCTATCAGGTTGTAGTTCTGTGAGCTTCAGAACCACTGAGACCCATTCAGACCAGTAATCTGGACATTAGCTCCCAGAAACATTGACCTCAGAAACCAGTGATGAATGTTTGCAGATGTTGAAGGTTCTGCTTTTCCTTCCTGCCTTCAGTTTTTCACATTCATGTTCATTTGAATCCAAGATGGCCGCCTGCTGGTTGTAGTTTATTTCTCCTGAATTCACCTCAGTCTCAGGTTGGTGGTCATAATGTTCTGCCGCTGATGCATGATGCTGGTCTGACCATTAAAGGAGAACCAGGTTCTGGTGGGTCCGGTTCTTCTCTGGTTTACTGGTGATCTGTGGATGATATTCAGAATGAAATGATGAGTTTTGGATCAAACAGCGATTCTTTAGAAATGCCAAATTGTTGTTTGATCAACTAAATGCTTCAGTTTCACAGCAGAAAGTGACTGAAAGTTACTGGAAGGTTTAAACTCTGTAACTAGAAAGAATCAGAACCAGAAACCCAGAAAAATAAAGTCAGAAGAATTTTAGTTTTTTATAAAGTCACAGAAATAAAATCTGCCCAACAATCACAAGATACTAAAACAAAAATCTTTCTCATCAAATAGATAAAACAAGCTGAAAACTGACAGCAGGATTTCTGCTAATAAACAGCAACTCTGAAAACATTCATGCTTTTTCAGTTTCATCTGTTTCCATCTTTCAGTTTTAAATGTATTTATTTTAATGCACTTTTATCAGTTTTCTGACTTTTTGCTCAATGTGAGTTAATGTTACATAACAGATCAGAGTTCAGGATCACTGAGCCGTTTAGCAGACAGACTGAAATCTTTCATCTCTAGTGAAGAACTGATCATTATTTCTACACTAAACCCTCATCTTGTGTCCTCAGTTTCCCAGCATGCACTGGGAGGAGTGGTGGAGGTCAATGAGGGGCGGAGTCTGTCCTGCTGCCCTGCATCTACTCTGGTTTTCCACCTGTAGACCCGTCACTCATCTGGACTCGCAGTGACCTCAGTCCGAACTCCGTCCACCTGCAGAGAGAAAACGGCGACGATCTTCAGAACCAGAACCAGCGTTTCAGGAACCGGACCTCCATGAATCCTGACGCTCTGGACACTGGAAACTTCAGCCTGACTCTGAGGAAACCTGAGCAGATTGATGGAGGAAACTACAGCTGCAGCATCTCTGATGGAAGAGAAGAACTGAACCTGAAACAGATTCACCTGAAGGTCAAAGGTCAGATAAACAAGCAGCACAACCTATGTTAAAGTTCTATGAATGAATGAATTTGTTGAAATGAGAAAATGAATAATTGATCATAGTGTCTGTAACCATGGAGACAGTGATGAGACTAAATCTGACATGAAAGCAGAAAATGATCCAAACTGTTTCTGATCATTTTCTTCTTTATTTCCTCTCAGCTGATCAGCAGGAGGTCGAGGTCACTGAGGGGTCAGATTCTGTCGTCCTGCCCTGCACAACATCGTCCCGCCTTCCTGAGGACACAGTAGTGGAGTGGACCCGCTCAGAACCAGAATTTATGATGGTTCACTCAAGCAGCAACCAGAAACCAGGACGGATTTTACCGCGACCGAACAGAGATGGACCAAGATTTCCTGAGGACCGGAGACGTCGGCCTGACCCTGAGGAATCCCACACACAGAGACGCTGGACGCTACGTCTGCACCGTCTACAGAGACCAGGACGTCCTGAGACACACGGTGGTTCTGAAATATGTACAGAAAGGTCAGAGCATCAGGTCAGAGCTGCTGGTAAAGGTCAAAGGTCAGAGTGAGGTCAATCTTTCTCTGTTTTCCACAGAACCCTTTCCATCCTGGGCCACAGCTCTGCTGGTTCTGCTGGTTCTGGTTCTCATCGTCTCTGCAGGATTTTTATATCATTTTAAAGATTTTTTCCTGCCAGGTGAGTCTGAATGTTTCTGACCCAGAATGTGAGAGAGATCATGTGACCTGTCCTAGGGGTCAGAGGTCAACAGTTTGTTCCTGTCTTCAGTTCAGATCGTTGTGTTCATTCATGTTCAGATCAAATGCAGCATCAGAAACATGAACAGAACCAGCAGCTGCTGCTTCTCTACAGTCTGTTAGAGGATCTCAGTGTTTCTGCTGTTTTTCACTTTTCTGGAAGTTTGTTCCAGATTTTTGGTGCATAGAAGCTGAAAGCTGCTTCTCCATGGTTCTGGTTCTGGATGCAGAGCAGAACCAGAACCAGCAGGTTGATGCAGCAGCTGCAGATCTTTAATCGTTCAGTGATTTATAAACTAGCAGCAGGTTTAAAGTCTCTTCCTGTCAGTGAAGGACTGTGGAAGTGGGCGGAGTTTGGATGTTTCATTAGTTATTGATAAAGTTAAATAAAGTAAAAGAGAGAAACTAAACACAACAGAATTCACCACTTTAAAGTTAAACTCAGCTTCTTCTGGGCAAAATGAGCAAACAGAAAATGTCTAAAGCAGTGGGGCCCAAAGTGGCCCCTGAGGGCCCAAACCTGCATGTTTCAGTCTCAGGTTTAATCCAACTGGATCCAATGAGGCTCGTTAGGAGAACATTGACCTGCTGAACAGGTTGTTGGTACCAGGAGAGAATAAAACCTGCAGGATGCAACCGGCCCTCCAGGACCCACTTGGGGCCCGACTGGTCTAAAGTTATAAAATACAAACATTATTCTCTGAAACACAAATAGACTGATGGTCATAATTACACTTAAACGACCAACAAACTCAACTTCAACTGATCTGCACTGATTCCTGAACTAAACATCACTCACTAAATGGCTGCGGCCCCTAGTGGCCAAGATAGAAACTAGAAGGAATGAAGGTAGGGTCTCTCTTTCACTCTCTCTCTCTCTCTCTCTCTCTCTCTCTCTCTCTCTCTGTCTCTCTCATCTTGTCCTCTGTGTCTCTCAGCTCCACAGGTGAAGGTGGATTCAGGGGTTAAATCTGTCGTGCTGCCCTGCAGAACCAACATTTACCTGCCAGGTGGCGCCAGAGTGGAGTGGAGGAACGGAGAGAACAAGACGGTCCATGTGTATCCGA